AGGAACTACTAAAACCAAGTGATAAAACCCACTTCTTCTCTCCCTTGGAAAGAACTTCACAAAACATCTGAAGGTTGCTTATGTTGCTAACTCAGGCTCAGTTCAAGGAATACTTTGAGTCTATCCCAGTCTTTGAACAGATTTAAAATTACAATATCCCACAGAAAAAAAAACAACAACAAAAAAAAACAACACAAAAAATGCAGTATTGAAAACATCAAACTATCCAACTTTGAAATTCTTTACAGTCACTATTATTTTCCCTAGAAAAACCTCATCATTTGATGCACCAAGTCTATCTGCCATATTTTGCAACAGTTGATCACAGAGTAGCCAGCCAGTATTCTGTCAGCACTAACCACTAACAAAAATCTGCTCAAGATGGGATCACACCATTGCACACCGAAATCTCAGCCCAGGACTGCATTTTTTTTACTGCTTTCTTGTAACTGCAGAACAGCTGGGATTCATCTCTTGCCAATTAAGACTTCAAAAGCCTAAAATCTAGTAACCATACATTCCCCCAGAGAGGCATCACTAAAGGAATATTATTCTTCTTGAATTATTAAAGTCATCCAGCTTTTGGCCTCGTGCCTCACACTTGTAAGATGGATGCTTTTAAAAATAAACCTGAAGGAGGCTGTCACCTGGAAACAATGAATTCTTGCTCAAGTGCACACAAATCAGGAATGATGAGGAAGAGGCTGATTTGGTTCAGTCAACAAGCATTAAGGTCATTGTGTTCAGCTGCTTATTTTGCTGTACCACTTGGGTGCCTGCATGCATGATTTCTAACACTTTGGCTGTCAAGATGCAAGGACATGATCTCTCAATTAGCTGCAGGTGCAATTCATGCACCGACTTAAATGAAGTCTAGTTGCAAATGCCTGGATTTTAAACTGCTCTGAAAGGCCTAAGGAATAGGAAGGGCAGACATAGAGCTAAGAAGGTGACTTCTATTTTTTTCCAGAACTGCCAGGATGCAGTGATATATTTCATTGTGAACTTGGTTTCAAATTGCAATCCTCCTCCTGACTTATTGCTTCTGTGTGTGAGCCTTATTTCAATAATTTAATTTTCTCTCCAGATTGGAGCATTAATTTTACAGGAAGGGCCAGATACCTAGCGAAGAAACAACACTTTAAGCCAGACCATCAGGATATCCACACATCTCCATCTTCATCAGGCAATGGAGACTACCCAAAGCATGCCTGAAGGAGAGGACAGACATAAGGAAAAATTAAGCATGGTTTAGAAATCCAGTGTTAAACTTTTAATCCAGTCGTTGGCTTGGAAACAGCAATTTTATGAAACTCCTAAGAAAGAAAGTCCCCATGTTAGTACAGGTTGAGCCTTCTAGGCTGACATGACATTCCAGAAGTCTGTAAAACACATCACAAAACAGACTGCTGCTACTGTCTGGGAATGAGAAATCTACTGCAGCTTTACAGTGGTTCTGCAGGCTGTCCAGGACCTTAAATCCCACCACCAGTCTGTCACAGATGGTACAGCAGAGGGTAAAACAGGGATTCTGAAACACTGAGAGAAAAAGTAGGTCATGTAAGCTGCTGAATATGATATAGTTGCCTAGATAGCAGAACTTTACATCTAACATATACTGCAACTCAATATTCCACATCAAATCAGAGGCCTCCATGAATTACTGTTAAATCTACCAAATGCTCTGTGGTTCGTTTTCCACTACTAACACAGGAGATCGTGTTAAGAAGAACATGGTCAGGACACTTCCTCAGAGATGCTGTAGATTCACACAACTTTAGCATCTACGGAGGAGATGTGAAAATACTACAAATATATGCTAACATTAGGCAAGGGAACAGATTCCACCTGCCCTATTTGTGTCAGCTAGCATAGCTCTTTTTATCTCATCTCCTGTCCTTGTTGAATATAACTGCATCCTCTAAGTTTGTCCAGCGTGTTGGAGAAACAAACAAACTCAACCATATAACAGCCTACAACCATTTCAGTAGTGTCTTGTGGGCTTAAAATCAAATTGTATTATTGCAAAGTAAAAGCATTAATCTGCTGCAGTTTATACAGATTTCCTTAAGGAGTTCCTACTCCTGTGTCCTTGTCTGCCTGTGTTTTACACCACCTACTGATGTTAATACCATTTCCAAGCCGCTCATCTTCAAGGCCAGGTGGGACAGGGCTTGCAACCTGGTCTAGTGGAAGGTGTCCCTGCCCTTGTGGGGGGGGGTTGGAACTAGATGATCTTCTAGGTCCCTTCCAACACAAACCATTCTATGATTCTGTGATCTCCAAGTGTGACACCCATGTGTTTGGCCATTTGTGAGCATGTCTACGCCACCCAATGGAGCAGATCCCCTCTCAATGCCCCCCAGGATGGGTAACTAACAAACAGAAAGAGCACAGCATGATCAACATGCCAGGACAGCTCCTGTGTTGGGGAGGGAGGCTAGTCTGAGCAAACCAGCTCTTCTTTCCTCTTGTCTGCTGATTCACATTCTTCCTGCACAAGCTACAGCCACTTCTCACAGCTCACTGATCTCAGCTGTGAGGTCAAATACTCTTATTCAGCTGAAAATTATATCACTTTTCATGCTAGTATTTCTGATGCAATATTATACCCATTTTTATTGTGAAGTCCACTGCTAAATGGACACGTCCCAAAGCTTCACTTCATGTCAGCTATCATGGTCACCTCCTCAGATTCTTGGGAACTACCAGGCATAACAGGGGTGCTCTAAACCTGTGCAGGTGGCATTAGGGCATTGCTAGTGTTGTTCAAGAACATGTATTATTTCCTCCTTAACCAAAGGCCCTAGTTATTTTCTATGTACATGTTTTCAATATTTGATTAAGAGGGGTCTCAGTTCCTCCTCCTTCCCTTGATGACATTAGCTTTTCATCTAACCTTAAGACCCTACTGTATAGAAGCAGGAAAGTAAAGGAAAATCATATTAAATCCTAAAGTTACTCTACTTGGATCTTCCTAGCCCCTCTGCATGCTTCCCAAAAAACTTGGCCAATATCTTGACTTTAAAAATACATTCCAGTAACTCACTATTTTAAGCTCTTATGATATCAAAGACATGTCATAGTTCACTGGGCAGAAAGCTTCCCACAGGCATTTCAATACTGAAAATTCCATGTGGCCTCTTTTGTGCTTTTTCAGCATATGGTGTATGAGCCAGACAGAGAGATCCCAATTAGAAAAGTCTTACCTCTCTCTGATCGTCTCTTGGGAGCTACTGCTAGTTTGGGAGCCTTTATGGGTAAGGTTAATTAGAACAAATCTAAAACTATTCTGCTTCACACAACTGGGCTATGGCAGTCATTGTAAAAGGAAAGCATAGAAATTCAGCCACAGGTCTCTTTGCCAGGCTGGCTTTAAGGTTTAATCATTAGTTTTTCATCAGAATGAAAGTATTAACTTAGAAGAGAGCAGAAATGCCAGAAAAAAAAGTACTTTATGAGACAGCAATTTGTCTTGAACACATACAATGGCCACATTGGTCCCTTTATGCATTTTCTAATTCAGTTAATGCAAAGACAAGTTACATGGATCTCTAACGAAATAATAATTTACAAAATCCGGACTGACATACAGTTGCTGCAGTTATTTCATTGCCTAAGAACTCTGTGGGCCTGTTCTGTGTATCTCTTCTGCAGACTGACTGTATAACCAGGATTTGAAATGGCTGTAATTTAGCAGCTTTACCTCAACAGCACTTTTTTTTTTATTTTTCCCCAAGAGACTACTGCTTCCATCTATCCCTTTCTAGACAGTTGATATTTGAAGCCTGCTTGGAATCCTTTGTTCCTTTACACACATAAGCTGTACTCTTCCATAAATTACAAAAGCATGATATATTCAAAGAAATGGATGTGCTTTGATGGCTCTATACAAGTTCCACTTCATATAATTTCACTGCATTAGCATCTACAAGCAGCTTTCAGTGCTTAGACAGTATCCCTCACTATGAACTGTGCCCTCTTGGCACAGTAGCAGAAAGAACAGCACACCAAGCTTGTAAAGAAACAAGGTTGCCTCCAATCTTATGTGCCACATCAAAGGTGCATTTGGCATTGTCCTGTTTCCAGCCTTTAGGAAGATGTAAAACTTCATCACTGGACCAGAAGGATACTGCTTTCAAAGCCCACTGTGCTTCATATAAAATTCTTGTGTCCTTAAAGTTATTCTAGGTGAGAGTCAAAGGAGCATATGGGCTACATGAGCACCCTTGCTGGGGTAGGTGAAAAATATCCATAAAATGAACAGCCTGGGTTAATTTGCTATAGCAAAAAAAAAATAAATCACTGTACTCTGAAGGTCAAATGGAATGAAAGCATGTTTTTAATCTTCTTATCTACTTACAAATCACTGATGTTTTAGGTCTGCTAAAGTAATTTATAGAGATCTTTCACATAGCAAGCTGGCATGCCTGTTACACATTGACCTAAATTTACCTTCCACAATTTTGTAAATTCCCAGAATGACATTTTGCGTGTGGAGCCCCCAGCATCTGGGCCTGCTATACTGTAAAACATGGTACAGAATGTTTACAGGAGAATTCTAGTGGTTAAGGGACATCTACCAACAGTTCTTCAATATTACTCTGTCATTTTCCTGCAAAAGGTCCCTACCCAGTAGAAGACTTGGGCAGGTAACTCACTGAATTCTCTGCTGAACTGAGGAAATAGTTAAGCCCCCTTCTCATTCCATTTCTGAGATCAATTCCTTTAATCCTTTAGTATATAGTGACTTAGTGTTTTTCCCCAGCTGCAAGCCTAGGTCCTTCTTACATACACATGTCCAGAAAGGTGAGGGGTATAAAATGTCTCTGTAGTCTGCTTGACCTATTCTTACCATTGATAATGAATGGCATCTCAAGCTGAGTTAGCCACCATTTTTTCCTTTACATACCTTTTTTTTTTTTTTTTTTTTTAAATCAACCTATTTTCTTAACTGGCAGAGAGTATAGAATCTGGAGAAAGCAAAGACCAAAACTTACCATCTGATTCAGAGGCTGCTCTGAAAATCAAGTAGCTGCTGGGAAGAGGCTGAGTGATCGAACCAACATTTTCTCCCTTTGGGCCCTGGAAATGCACAAAAAAAAGATGTAAGGGACAGAAGAGGCAAGGGACAGTTCAACATCTTTCCACCCTTCCTGGGCAGAGTGTGTATCTTTGTGATAGGAAAGAAGGAAGGGGCAGATGGAGTAACTTAGAGATACTCATTAGTAATCATGATGTTGCTGCTGCAGCTCCAAAGCAGTAATGAGCTCTGATGAAAACAGGGCTTGGTCTACCCTATGCCCAGCCCAAAGCTCAGATGCTAAGGAATGGAATAATCTAATTCCTGATGCTTGGAACAAAACCAATCAAATATTTACTATTAGCCACCTCTGTGCAACATGCAGTGCATGCCAAGGCTGTCTGCAGCCTGACACACTAAGCACTGAAACACCCTTTATGTGTCACCATAGAAGTTGCAGAGCCCACATCTTGTGCTGCAAGTGCCTCTAGCAGAGGGGCAATGGCAGCTTTTCTGAAAGGAAACAAAGGGGAAACTCCATCCTGCAAACCTGTCTGTGGGAAAGGAGGAAACAGGGAAACCACAGGCTGTGGAACAAAGGCCTCCCAGCATGGGCACATGCTTCTGGGTTGCAGCTCTTCATCTCAACGTTCAGACCCTCTGAGAACCTTTATGCCATGGTGCCTGGGTGATGGCCACTTCAGGATTTAACAAAAACAGGCTTTGATTGTTAATGTTGCCTTTAGTTCAGCAGCTGTGGCAAAAAAAAAAGTTAAAGTGGCTTGTAAACATCCTGCCACAATCCCTTCAGCATGATCCTCCAGAAATTATTCCCAGGGAGGCAGAATCCATATTGTGTTAGACACTTCTTTGAGCAGAACCACATCCTCCCACCTTGATCTCCTCACTGTATTTGCCTCTCTTAAGCTCCAGAAGCAGCTACAGAAGAACAGTTCCTGCACCTGGTGAGCACAACTTCACACTCCATAGTATGGACTTTATGCCATGACGTGATTGAAATAAGTAAGAATTCCTCCTCCCTTGCATCTTCAAAGTGACCCAGCTTCCTCCAGTTCTTTCCCTTCCTTACTTTTAACAAACAATGTGAAAACAGATCCTTTTTCAAATATGCAGACATCATGTCAGAAGTAAGTGCAGAGCAGAAAACATTGCCAATACTCTCATGACCACTGCCCCAACTGCAGGGCAGAACAAGCAGTTTTCTCCAGGACGCTCAAATACAGATTTTTGTAAGTTTCTAGAGAATACCACACAATGATGAAAATCTGCAGGCAAATGTTTGCAGTTTGAGTATGATTGTCCTCTCTTACATGGGCCTTTATAATATCCCATGCTGCCCCTTTAAAGGAGGATTCCCTAGCATTAATTTGTAAGTAGGAAAACTGTGACTGCTACTGGAAACTGCTCCTGTATACAAGTGCCTAGTAGTTACATGGTGATTTTGTCTGGATTTTTGTTTTTAACTCAATTCAGGAAACCAGAATTTGGAAAGAATAAAGAGTGCAAGCACAGGACAAGCATCAAATTGTTTCTGAGTCTTGCCGCGAAGATGCAGTGCTGAGAAGACAACAGTCTCCAGTCTTGCTTCTCATCCTCACATCTGTAGGGTTATTTTGTTGCCAGAAGAAATTGGGATCCTTGTTTCCCCTCCCCTCTCCTACAGGAGGTTCACAAAACTGTTTATAAAGGCTTAACAGTCAGGACTGGCAAAGTTGAAATTTGATTAATAAACCACAGCAGAGCAGTTCAAAACATCACTAGTGACATTAATGCAATCAGGCAACATTCCTGATGGCCTTTTTCCTTTCAGTAGCTTGCAGCTGAAAGGGTGCTTGAGAATTGTTGATAACACCATTACTTGTTTTTCAGTGCCCAGGTTGATACTGGCTCTTTTAGAGGAAAAATGACACAACCAAACAGTACAGACCCAGGAAACTGTTATTGAAATAAAGAGGAAGAAGGGAAGGATGGGATAACATAAGATTTTAACAGATACTTAAGCATGTAACTAAACAGAAGGAGAAGCCAGGTCATTCTGTCAAGTAAGTGTATTCATACATGGTGGGGGCTGTTGCCCACAGAAAGAAGAGGAGAAGAAAACGAGGTCATAAAAATAAACTCATTATGTCCACAGAGTAAATGAGGTTCTGTATCTGCACGGTAGAGATAATGATGTTTTCTGTCTCCCAGCCTATGATCATCATGCCTGTTTAGAGTCTAAGGCCTCCAAGACAATGATTGTCTCTCACTAAAAGTGAGTATTATCCCTACTACCCTGGGACCTGGAGCTCAGCTGCAGCCTCTAGACAGTACAACTAAGAAAGGATCATCTTCAGATCATTCCTGTCTTTACGTTTGATTTGAGACTCTAAAGGCATTATCGAAGAGGGATTGATTAGGCTTTGAAAAATGGAGTGGACTCACTGTTTTAGATAGTATCACAAGACTTCTTGTCACAAAACAGAGCTTCAAAAAGGGAAAAAAATCCCTTTTATAAGCAGTACTGTGGGTAACTGTAAGGATGAAGCTGAAACTAATTGTGCTGTATCATGGAGCAGAACAAACAACTGTAAAAGGGTTGCACAAGCCCATTACTAGAACTTCTTTATTTAAAGGAATGATTCAAAGTTCTTAAAATCAACAAAATTAAGATTATATATATATATTCCCAGATTCAGTGGGTCTGACCCAGACTAATTTAGTGCTTTAAATACATGTCAGAGCAAGGTGCAGTCAATAAAAGTCTGCCCACAGGACACTGTTCAGGTAGCTTCTCAGCAGGCTCAAAGGGAAATACAAACTATCCCAGGACATTTATTTGGGACAGCTGGGCAAACCTTGCCAGCATATAGCCCTACACTCCCTCTGTGAAGCAAGAGGACAGACACCTGCACTCTCACACTAATTACTAGGCTGGCATTCCCCGGTATCCTGCAGTTATCCCAGGAAGGAGTCTTTTCTCTGAAGCAGGGTGGGATCACACACTTCACACGATGGACAAACCGTCTCTGCTGGAGTATTTGGAGCATGTGGCAGAAGCTTTTCCTGCTGCTTCTGGTGCTGCTGACTGATTTTGAGACCTCGGTGATTTTGGCCTTGAGTTGACGAAGGTCTGGGCAGAGCACAAAGGTGAAAGTTCTAATTCATTTTCACTGTGAAGCAGTTTCAGGATAAAATGCTGAAAAAGCTAGGGAAGCAGTGCAGAATAAAGGACTCTCTCCTCTCACAGATGAGCTTCTGAGACAGTTCCAGGCACCAGAGCACTCTATAGGAAAATCAGTTCCTTGGTGCATATATTTAGCTTTCACGGAATTACAGAACGCTACAAGTAATAATCTTACATCTTACCTACCTATCATTGGAAAGGCATCCCAAAATTTCATCCTGCTCTGAAGTTAGACAACTGCACATCAAATTTAATTTGCCTGCACAACTATAAATGTCCAAGGCAGTGCTTGAACCCACAGGTAGATCTATACATCTGCTCTGCAGCCAGGCCAACACATACAAAGGTGCTCATTAATTACCCTGAGTTAGCTGGAAGTCCACTGATGTGAGTTAAACCTGGACCATCAACTCCCGTCTGGGAAATCCTTTAAAATTTCACAATCTATTTTCACCAAAGGTTAAAGTCATTTAGCCAGATCTTATGTCTATCATGATGGACAGTGATTTGGGCTTTTTGCTCAAGCTCAGCCTTATACATATTTAATAAGAAATAGGCTTCCTTTGCACAGTTATACATAATCTATTTAAATCAGCCAATTCTGCTCCAGTTGCTTTAAAAGATGGCTATGAAATGACATAAAATGAAACAGTATTTTTAGCAGTTTTAGCCTTAAACTGTTGTCAGAGTGCAGACAGCTTCTTTGACATCAAGCAGTTCACTGGTGGATCTCTTCCTGTTGTGTATTTTGGTGTTCACCTTCTGGCTGAATGCATCTATCACACGTAACAATCCAGGCTGAACTCAGGTTTCAGAAAACATCCTACCATGCAGCTCAAATGTAGCTTTCCAAATATCTGTCTCAAGTGACTTAGGATTATTACTTTGACTTTAAAACTCAAACCCCTTGGGCCGTCCTCTAGTACACAAATATTTTCAGAGATAAATTTCCTTTGTATTTAATATACTAATTGCTGTTTCTGTCATCTGTTTTCTCAAGAGTCAGAGAATCAGATACACATACAAACATGCAAATACATATACACATTGATGAAAACTCCTCTTTCTTTTGGATGACTAATTCAAAGGGAAGGGCATTTTGGCATAGCACTTCAGATCTGTCAGCAACACTGCTTTTCAGTACCTGACTGTGGTGACTTTTCTACTTTTTCAGTACCTCTCCTGACTGTGCTTTTCAGAAGAATTCATTTGACCTGTCAAGTTACAGGGATTTTTTTTGCTGATGGCAGTAAATGATCAACAGCCTTCTTGAGTGCATGGCCTGAATTTAAAAAGCATCAAAACTCTCAAATCTGAGTAAGAAGCAAGGCAGTAATGAATCCTTTGAGACTTAAAGCAAAAGCAGATCTAGGCACAGATCAGAGCTGAGCTACTGTCAGAGAACAGCAGCTCATACCCCTGGTTGTTGAGGTTAATTTTAATTCTCTCCTCCTACCTTATTAAAAATTGAAATACTTTTTATAGTGATTCTATAGCTGTGTTTAAAACTGTTCAATTAACTGCAGGGATGAGCAGGAGTGAAGCTGCTTCATCTGTTCCCACAAAGCTTCCCCTCCATTTTAAATACAATGACAAATGCATTCATCACTCTTGCATGAATCTTTCCAAGTAGATTTACTCTGCTGACCACCTTGCAGCAAGGCAGTAGCTTGTAATGCCTTGCTTATGCTCATGGTGTCTCCTGGAGAATTTGTTTGGCAATAACTCTGCTGAGTCACTGTTTTTAATGGGGAAACAACAGTTGGAGAACATTTGTCTTCAGGGTATCCAACAGATGTTGCTCTCAGTGCCTCTCAAGAGTCTTCCTCTTTGCTCAGAGGCGCATATATATATTGGGTTTTTTTACCTGTTCTTAAAATAAAGACAAAAAAATGCACCTCTAAAATTTGCAGGGACTTATTTTAAGAAGTGTGAGAAACTATTAATCATTTGCATTACATTGAGATCCAGAGGTCACTGCAGGTCTACCATGTGTACCGCAGGAGACAGTCTCAGCCTGTGAGTAACAAGAGACTGAAGAGCAACCCAAAGTTAAGGAAAGAAACCTTGCTATTTCCACTTCAAAGAAGAGAAAATTAAGGTAACCTATTCTAAGTCACGCTTTTGTGGAACAGTCAAGGCTTGAGCAGACCAAGCTTTGGGTTCCAAATCCATCACAAAGAAACCCAAACATCAGAGACATTAGGAAAAAAGAGTCAAATTAATTATCTGGTTTCTGTCACTTTGCCAGACCTCTTCCAGTGTTGTGCAAAGCATTTGGTGCTTTGCGTGTCCTTGTTTTGGGGAAGTGAGTTAATTTGGGCTACTTTCTCATTCCTTTTTAAAGATGTAGGCCATAGCTTGATATAGCTTCTAGGTATTGATCTTTTTTCCTTCACTAACATGTTTTCCCTTTCCTCAGTCTATGTATGCATCCATACACCAAGAATGTTAGGTTTGTATAACTGGTCACAACACACCACATTCATTTGATAACATATCATGACCAAGTTTTGGTGTTTTTAATCTTTTTGCAGTCAATTCACCATCACTAACAGCAACTGAATAACTGAAAATCTAAATAATATCAATGCCAGATACTATTACTGCTCAGACACTTCGGTGACCAAGAAGAGGTTGTTCAACTCATTAGGATTCTTACCTTTACAGCCCAGATTGATTGATCCAAAGGATGAAAAAGCTTAAAACAGAAGCCATCCTTTTTGGAGGGTCTCTCAATCAGCTCACAAGAATGGAGCAAGATTGTCCCAACCCACTGTCCGATCTTTGGTGTCTTGTAAATCAGCAGCACTCCTGGTTTTAGAACACACCACAGCTTGGTCCAGCTCTTCAGAGTCCCACGAATCTGGAGGGAAGCAGGGAGAGAACAAAAAGCTGCAATTGCTCCTTAAAAGAAAAACAGCATTTATTCGTTATTTGTACAGTACTTCCAGTATGTGTTTCTCCCGAGGCCACACTACAATACACTTCCTTAGTAAAATACCCTGCGTTATCCGAACAGTCTTAGGGATCTTACAGCAAAATCCCAGACCTTGTAAATCTGGCTATCAGAATCTAGTCTGCATATTCTTATTACTGGCTTAGTGTTAGCAGCTTGCTTCATTTTTAGGCAACCAGCACTGCTGGCTCACATGAGAGTGATTTCTTAATAATCATGAAGGACACATCAATTAGAACACTGCAGAGAAAAACATTATAGCTACTCTAACTCAACTTATAAGTGATTTTCATACTGTTCTGTAGAACAGAGCTATTAATGGGTTTTATCAAATATCACATTTTTAAAAGCACCTTCTCCAGCTGGTTTACTTCTCTGTCAAGCTTGATGCATGTTCTCTCTTGTATAGAAGACATTAAATCTGATAACTTATATTAAAGATAACAGCTTTTAGAATGAGGAAGTTTCTCAGTAAGTTCTTTCAGGTTTAGTTGGCATGGTGGTGTTGGGTTGACAGTGGGACTTGATGACCTTAGAGGTCTTCTCCAACTTTAATGACTCTATGATTCTGTAGTTCTATGATTATATGCTGTGACAACATAAAATCCAACTGTCAACAGATCAAGCAGTATCTGCCCATTTCCAGGCTGTTACTGTGTCTATTACCCCTTCTGTACAAAAACACATCTGTGGGACAAGGCCAGCAGACTCTTTCAAAGAGTAAGAGAGAAATGAACATATTAAAATATAAAGAAATAAACTTCCTTTAGTGCTATGTACTTTTTGAGACCTTCTTCCTACTTAAGAACATGTAATATATGAATTGAGTTAGGTTAAGATGGAAAGTAAATCTTCTTCATAACTCCACTTTCATAGCAGCTATTTAAGCATGGCTTTACAGCAACTTCAACTCAAAATTATTCCATTTTCCTTCACTCAGAAGAGCACTAGTGGAAAAGTCTCAGACACAGCAAGTACTTCTCGCTTATTTTTTCTGTAGGCCTCAGAAGCAACAGTCTGTATTCAATACCTTCAGCCAGTCTGCTGTGATCACTACACTGGGATCTTTTAGAGCACTGAAGAGTTGTTTGGTAGCTCTTTTCTTCTCTTGTCTGTAATTTTTTTTTTGTACCTGGTTGAGAACAGAGAAAATATAGCAGCTGTAATCATGGCCTTGTTGGGGGAGGAAAGAACACAATGCATTAAGGACAGATATGTATAGCACAGCTAGAACTTGACCTAGCACAGGTTCCCCAGAAATGAGCACAAGGAAGAACAAAAACATAAATGAGATAGCAGGCATTTCTTTTGCTCCTGCAGTTCCACTAAACATAACTTAATTTGGCCTTTCTTTGGGGAGAATGGAAAGAGGATGAATAGCCAGTTCTCTCCAGTCCTCAAATTAAAGAGATTAAATCTAATTTCATCCAAACCAAATTATTTCTATTTTGGTTTGGTAGACAAGCAAGTGTTCAAGCAACAATCTGCTCAAGTTGCCTAGGCATACCCACCCTAACAAGACAACTAAAGGATTACAATCCTCTTGAGGTAGCTAATGGCTCTGGAACACATGAACACACTGAAATAATTACACTGATCTGTTTGCAGTATATACTGTAAATCCTGTATATAAAGCCTGTAAATGTCCTTGGCCTATAATGACTTCAAGGAGAGTTAGAGGCTTCTCTGGGTGTTAGGAAATGACTCAGAGTAGTTCCCAAAGGTTTTTTGGGAAGCTACTACTTGTTTTCTAAAGGTAAGTCAGCTAAAGCTGACTTGGCTGCTCTGCACGTACCTTCAGTGTTTCCTTCCTCATGAATTTGGCTGTGGGAGACACACACTCTTTGTCAGACCCATTGCAAAGCTTATATTCAATCTAAAAAAAAAGACAAAGAGGAAACAGGAATATGTTACCATGAAGATGTTCAAGTTATGCTCTAATGAAGAGTTGTTTACACCTTCCAGAAATCCACGAAAGAGCCAATTTCAGCCTTCAGCAGAAAATGCATATTTGCAGTGCAGTCCAAACTCGCTTTTTATACTCACAGTCGGTTGGAAAAAGCCCCACCAAATTTTCTTTGCATTTCTCCCATGCAGACATTAATTTTGGTAACATAAAAAACCAAAAAAACAAAACCAAAACACAACAAACCCCAAACGAACTCCCTGTTCTTATTTCTAACTGAAAACTCCCCATCTCTTTTCAGATCTGAAAGGATTTCAATTACTGCAATAAAAAATATGGAGAAGCTGTTATAGATTTTTCAGAACGAGATTTGATCTTGGCAATGACTGCTGCCCTAGCTGGAATATCCAGAAACATGAATGGGAAAGAAATTACCTAATCATGTTAGAGATAATACAGGAAATCATCATCATCTTGGCCTTGCAAACCAAGGCACAAAATATACAGTCAGTTCTAATCTTGTTTGATAGTGTCTGTGATGTTAAAATTGATCTCAGAAGCTGGAGACTGATCTCATGATTGTGCTGATGGGGTGAAAAAAAATGCTTTACTTTTGTTAGACATGGCCACAATATTACTGTTCCCAAAATAATGTATGCTTTGAGAGTACAGCTCTCTGGAGCCCAACACAGCCCTACTTGGGTACTGTCAGCAAGCTGTTCAACACCTAGAGAAAGTTAGAGGCGTGAGAATTATGTGGCAGTCTGGACTCTGCTACTTTTTATGCGACCTTGGGGAAGTTACTTGCTCTCTCTACCTCTCTTTCTGCCAAACTTTCATGTATCTGACGCATTCAGACTGTGATCTTCTGGGCTCAGACACTATCTCTTCTACTTATGCATGACAGTTTTATGAAGAAGCTCAGCGCTTGGCCATCTTGATTTAATGGACATGACAAAAAAAATGAACTGTACGAAGGAAAAGAACGTATAAAATATAGTTCCTATTTATAAATTTACTCCTATGATGTGAAACAAACCCACTGGGCTCTCAGACTCTCCTTTCTGCCATGAGTAAATGCCAATTTTTTACAGTGCCTTCAGCTTCCTTCCCACTTCAGTTTCCTTTTCCCACTTTATTTTCTCCTGCCAGTGACACAGAAACCTCTTCAGCTCCTCTAGCCGCAAACCATGCTGAACATTAGTGTGAGCAGGAAAGTATTCAATGACAGCCAGATCAGTCCTTTTCACACAGCATAGACAAAAACATGCAAACACATAACACGATCACAGCAAACAGGCCATCAACTATGCTTTGGAGACTGAGGCAGGAGCAAAAATTGGAGATAAGGGTGCATGCTCAACTGAGCAACAGTCTTTGTTGGTGATGCAGGAGTAGAAATGAGGGACAGATGGTGCAATTTGAGCCAGAGCCAGGGTCGCTGTAGAACCTATTACCTGTTCTCACATACCCACACAATAGTCTTTCACTAAAAACAAAACTACATATGATACTTAAGAATAAATCATAGAATCATCAAGGTTGGAAAAGGCCTTCAAGATCATCAAGTCCAACCATCAGCCCTACAGTCTGTGAGTACTAAACCATCTTCCAGAACACCACATCCACCAGTTTTTTTAACACCTCCAGGGACGGTGACTCACCACTTCCCTGGGCAGCCTATTCCAATGTCTCACCACTCTTTCTAAGAAGGCATTTTTCCTAATATGCAATTTGAACCTCCACTAGTGCAACTTGACCCCCATTTCCTCTTGTCCTATCACTGGTTACAAGGGAGAAGAGGCCAAATAGAAGAACTAAAACTGTATGATGGCACATAAAGACAAACAAAGTCCCTGATTTGACTGTCCATTTTACAAGTCAACTTAGCATTAGATCCACTCAAAGAAAATGCCAGCTCTTGGACTTCTGCAAACTATTCAATATTTGTCATTTTTGTTTTCACAGAAAGCCAAGCCTGCCTCTTCTAGCTGCAACACAGTCTCTGATGCATATTTTGTATTTCTGTGCATGGGATTTCACTGTAAAAACACAAGATGTACAGTGGGGACCACTGCATAGCTATGACATCTAAGCAGAGAATTGTGCCCATAGGGTCTTTGTCAGGTTTCAAAGGGCAGTGGTTGACATTTGGGAGATATGCTATACACTTTTCTTTATGAGGAAACATTTCTAAATGCTTAATTGTCTCTAAGCAAGAATCCTTTGGAATTATTAGGAGATTATGCTTTCACAATTCAAGATGCACATACGCTGTAACTGGTCAGAATTCTTCCCTTTCCTCCCAGTTAGCAGGGAAAATGTCCTGTCCTTGAGATACAACTATGAGCCAGCTGTTTATTGGTAATTTCACTCCCTCCAGCCTGAGAGATCAGACATGGAGAGAAACACAGTACCATTCCTCATTAGCTAGCATGAGCAGCAGAAAAAGCACAGATGTCCCTGAGATTCTAGGAAATCCTGCTCAGGTGTCTGCAAAGCATCAGGCTACAGTGAATGCTTTTTGCTTAACTAATTATAACAAGCTACAGTCACTTGTTGTCTAGACAATTACATTTTAGCACTCATATAAAGAAAAATCAAATAAAGAATATAAAAGATTTTTTTTTTTGCCCCTAAGCTCACTTGACTTGAGGAAATTTACTTGAAGATAAATTCAGAAAGGCTTCCCACAAGTGCCACAAACCATTGCAAACCTGAGCCCTAAACTCGCTGCTCATGGGGAACTGGCATTAACACAGATAAAGGCACTATCACTGCTTTACCAACCACACCTGCCTCCTCCTTGGAGTCCCTCTAGATCATGCTAAAAATTGAATTAACCACACTTCTTCAAATCTGGGACATTTACACAGAGAGACATTGATTGTGACTCTTCAGGAGAGCTGACTTGTAGCTCCATGACCAAGGACATCTCAGGTCCAACACCAGCCCATACTGCTGTGCATGTTATAAAGCAGCACACAGCAGGCAACAAGGGGATAATCTCTACTTGCACCACCATAGCGTTTAGGAGCTCAATAAATACAGTGAAACTTGTCTGAAGCTTGTCTAACCTGAATCTCTCCTCATCCAGTTTGAAACCATCCCCCCTTGTCCTGTTGCTACAAGCCCTTATAAAAAGTTCGTCCCCAGCTTTCCTGTAGGCCCCTTTAAGTACTGGAGGGCTGCTATAAGGTGTCCTTGGAGCCTCCCCTTCTCCAGGCTGAACAATCCCAACTCTCTCTGCTTGTCCTCATAGGAGATGTGCTGCAGGCCTCTGATCATCTTCGTGGCCCTCCTCTGGACTCTCTCCAACAGGTGGCAGTAGCATAAGTCCCTCACTGCCTGCCCAATAATTTCTAACTGTGCTGCAATGTCCCAAAACCTGTGATGTACCAGCTGCATGACAAATAACAAAGCTCCCTGAGATGGTGTGGGAAACCAAGCTTAATGAAGGGAGAGAAAATTCTGCCTAAGTCATGGTTTCAACTAGGAGCCATGGACAAGCTTTCAGATGTGCCTGACCTAGGACTTCTGTTTTTGGAAACTCGACACTGTTGCCCAGTAACTTTTTTAACGAGGCAAACTGATCACTTCTCCCTGGCAACTGTGCTTTGTGTTATGCTTATGAGGAAGCATCATCACAGATCCTAAATAGCAGTTTGCTTGCAGGTGATCTCCAGGTCTACAGAGTGAAAAGCCTTGCTTTTCTGGGTTTAGAATTCCTGCCTTTTCACAGAAAAGATGGGATCTAAGGCACCAGGACAGCATACCATAGGCCCTCATGCTGCTGATAGCAACATATGGTTCTGTCCAGGTTTCACCTGCTAAGTGACTTGAAGTAATAAGATTTCATCATTTTTCATGAATCTGTCCTAATAGTTTTGATTGTCCCTCATGTCATTATTGTCCCTCATATATCATGTCATGAGTAAATCTGGGTCATCAGCTCTAAAGATCCCCAAGGCACAGCAGGGCCTTACATTGCTAACACACATCAAGAGCATTTAATGACATTCTTCTATTGCTCTGCCCTTCTCAGCCTGGCAGAAAACAAAGAGAAGTCATTTGTTCTCACAGCACACCTTCCAAGGACACTAGAATAATGCTTTAGAGGGTTAGCACAGTTTGGCCCCTCTGCCTCTGCAGCAACACGTGAAAAATATTAATCAGAAATGAGACTTTGTACAATGGGAGGGTAGTAAGTTGGTGTCCTTTTTTAAAATAAAGAAAAAACAACACTGGAATATTCTACTAAGAAAGCAGTATGTATGTTTTCCATATACTGCTTCTCATACTTCTAAAGAAGGGAAGGCTGTTAATCTGCCAAAAACCTTTACCAGGGCATGAAGCAGCACTTGAAGGGTAGGAAACTGTTGTCCCTCTTTAGTTCTCCAAGCAGATCTGTCCTTTCTAGGACTGAATGATGACATTGCTGGCTGATGATGGCCTGCACTGTACTCAGAGACATACTTTTTTATCCCTGTTAAGCTTCTGTTCCCTTTCATCTCAGTAATATAGCTCTGGAGATCCACTGCTGACTGTCAGCAGTTATCACAATGACCTTACACTTAGGCTTTGTAAGAGACCATACAGAGTCCTCACAATAGTACTATTCTGATCCAGTGTCTTTTTGGTGACTTCATACCCAAGAGGAACCAAGAGTCTGTGACTGACTGGTGTGGGGGATGCCAGCCCATCAGCATGTCACGCCTTGGTCATAAGTTACGTTTCACAAAACCAAAAATATCCATCACGTGGGAAACTTGTCCTTGCTCACATATAACTTCTCCATAACTACTGCACATATAATTGCTACGTATCTGTACCACTGCAGAAATAAAAGAAATGAAACTGAAGTTCCTGAAGTAGTATAAACATCATGGAAAAGCTGGGTGTAATATGAGAAGTGAAGAGCTTCTTACTGTGGATGTGAATATTCAGATACCTCAACTGCATTTAAACAA